CTGGGCAACCTGTCACACAGGTTGATGTATAAAGTTAACCATCTTATCACTTTGTAAAAATCATATCGTCTATTCCATTTCAGTTTTTACAGAAACTGAAAACTGCATGAGAACAATTCAGGAAGCCATAGGTTAGTGATTGAAAAGAATTTTGACTCAAGGAAGGTGTCACAGAAAGAGCAGAACATCCATGATTTAAATTCCACACCATCACCATCACCCCCAAGAGACAAGAGCAGAGAACTATTGTTGAGGGCACAGAGTATGGTGGGCGCTGAGATAATATAAGACCTTTCCCACCACCCTCAATCCATTCTGTATTTTATTTTTCAAAGATGTAAATTCTACAGTTTTTTTTCTGAACTTGAGCTTCATAAAAACAAATCATAGTGGCACACATCTGTAATCCCAGCAACTCTGGAGACTGAGGCAGGAAGATTGCAAATTTGAGGCCAGCCTCAGCAACTTATCGAGGCCATTTAGCAAGAAGACCCTATCTGAAAATAAAAAAGCCTGGGGAAGTGGCTCAGTGGTTAAGTCACCCTGGGTTCAATCCCTGGTACAAAAGAAAGAGAGAGGGAGGGAGAGAGGGAAGGAAGGAAGGAAGGAAGGAAGGAAGGAAGGAAGGAAGGAAGGAAGGAAGGAAGGAAGGAAGGAAAAATATGTAACATGAGTTCTTGTGCATCTAGCTTCTTTTCTCTCAATTTTATGTCTGAGACCACAGGAGGCTATCTAAGTCTGTCAACAAAACTGCAGTTACATATCCTGCCCATGTGGCAGATGGATACTAAACACAGATGACTTGGAAAAATCAAGAATTGTGACATGCTGTGGAGTCAAACTCAATTTAGTCATGAGCATGGGGAGATCTTCCAGAATTCTTTATTCCAGCAACCTCTGCAAAAAGGTCTTTATAGTAGAGTTGAAACTTAAAACACTAGACTCTGAGGAAATAAAAAGGGGGATCTTTAGTTTTCAAGTCTTCTCATCCCTACTGCTGCTGGGGTGGCAATATTAATAATGCCTATTAATTATAGGTATTTCAGCCTTTTTTTATGGTACTGGGTTTTGACTCAACCCCGCTGTGCATATGGCAGGCAAGTGCTCTACCACTGAGCTACATCCCCAGCCCTCGAATTAAAAAAAAAAAAACCCTATCACTCATCTAATAGTACATGTCCAATCTTGGGGATGAGGTTTTTTTTTTTTTTTTTTAAGTTGGTTTGCTCTATTTTCTTGTTCTCTTTCCATTAGTTAGTACACATTATGAAGAGGGAATTGATGCCTGTTGA